TTTTTTTTCCCCTAATAAACGTGTCGTTTGTGATACGACAAGTAAAAAAAGCAATATAAGTATAGCTGGGATTAATTGGTCCGTGTACTTACTTGCATGGAGATCGGGAAGAAACGACAACGGCTCTTTTGTTGTGTAAGATTTTTAGTGGTCGGTCAGTCAGTGAAATATGAACAAAATAATTGATTATACAAATTCGTTAGTCTAATCAAGAGAAGCTTTTGTTTTGAGGGGAGGGGGGAGTGGTAATAGTGGTTTTCAAAAGGTCCCATCAGTAATGATGAATCAGCTTGACAGCTTAAATAAAGAGAAGCACACCACCATCATAATTCCACACTCTTGTATCCTAACGTTATTCATCTAATTATAAATTAGAAACATAAAAAATAATAATAATTATAATAATTGAAGTAATTGAAGAAACATAATATTTTAATTTATTATTTTAAATTACTAATTAATAAATTTAATTTAATTTTTTATTTTATAAAATTAAAATAAAATAAATTGTGAGGTTCACGAGAAACAGGGGAATGTGAATATGTTAGTTGGAAAAAAAAAACTAGAAACTCCACCGCTCTCGAATTAAGAAGAATATTATATTTAAAATTTCAATTCTAAAATATTATTTACTATTTTATTTATAAGAAAATGTAAATTTTAATCCGTTTTTACTATGTTCTTATTAAAATTTAATCATGTTTTTTTCTTACTTACTTGGTTAATTAATTTCATTGTTCTTAATTTCTACTAAAAGAAAAACTACCGTCGTAATTAATTTTGTAATTAGTATTATAGTCATCGATAAAGATAAAAATAAATATAAATTTTGAAAATATTATGATTTTTAGAGATGCCACAAATATTCGCAAAATTAATTAAAAATTATTAAAACAAAAATAACATAATTACTTACGTACGTACAATAATATTACTACTACGGAATTAAATCAGCAGAGCCGTGTTTTGTAACTGCCGGCATTTTTGAATTTACTCTGCCCATGTCTTTGAATTTAACGGTCATTTTTTTCATTACTACACTATATTTCAGTATATAATATATAATGTACCATGCATTAATGTTAAAAAAAATATATTTATATATATATAGAGATTTACTTTATGAAGCAAATATGGGATTACTAGTTGTAACATCTTAATTTGCAAGTAACTTGAAAACCACTCATATCATCCTCATTACTTGGTGGATCTTCTAAAGTGTGTGTATGTGGGTCACTTGCCAAGAACATCAATCATGCTTCTTAATAAAATGTTACTAATTAACTTTTTCAACTCCGATTCTTCTTTTTATTTTCTTTGAACTCCTTAAAAATATGTTTCATGTTAATTAATAATACAAAATCTATTTGAAATTTTTATAATTTCAAAACACACACACACTCGTATATATATAATTTAAGATTAACAACTTTATGCATAAATTATAAGAATTCTCTACGAAGAGATGGAGGATTTGTGTGTGGGAGAATAATTCTCGTGTCATATTCAATGGATTAATAATAAAGAATAGCATTAGTCTATGAGGTTGGAGGTTACAACCACAATGGACTCTATATATTGTGGTCGAAGATGATGCTCCACAAATTTGTTTAAGCTTAGTTTTAATTTGAATTTGATTTTTTTTTTATTTTTGTCTAATTTAGTTTGTAAAGTTGTTGTTTTCGATCTAAGAGACAATAATATTTATTATAGAGGGAGATGGAGTTAGATATTGAAAAGGAAGGGAAGAGGGGAAAGGGTCCCTAACTTAGAAAAAAGAGAGACAATGAAGTTATTGTAGGCATTGGAGGGGAAATAGTAAAATGAAGAAGACTTAGCCTTGTCTTTGTAGGAGAAATTAGGGCAAAGGGGTCCATCCTTACCCAACAACACAATCTCTCTCTATTCCCCAATCTAGTGGGCGCCATTGTTGCCTTGTCTTCCTCATAACCCACCCACTCGAACAAATTTCATCCCTAATTAATTGAATTACTCCCAAAAAAAAAAAAGAGAACAATCCAATCCAATCTTTTTCTCTCATCCCATGGATTATTTCTTCCTTCACAAATGTTAATATTATTCCATCACCCATTACTTAAAGTTTGATTTGATTATGAATTTTGTAATTAATTCAACTAACTAATCTATATAACCCCCCCCCCCCCCAAAAAAAGAGCCCAAGAGGAGAGAGGAACCACAGACTCCGTATTTTTCTGGCTTGCGACCGTAACAATTCTTTTGAAACAAGGGCACAAGAGAGAGATAAATCAAGGAGAGAGAGACAAAAACTTTCTTTTTGTCGCCCACAATGGTCGACGTCGACCGGAGGATGACCGGTCTCAACCCGGCACACATAGCCGGATTGCGCAGGTTATCTGCGCGAGCTGCTGCTCCGTCAACGCCTTCTGCGCTGCCAGTCCGTAACGGTCTCTTGTCTTTCTCCTCGTTGGCGGAGAAGGTCATAACCCATTTGA